TCTCACCTTCCTGGCAACAAGCTTTCTAAAAAAGAAGTCAAATCGTGTTGCTCCTCCCACAAAAGTTGTCTAGTGGCTCCGGTAGCCATTAAGGAAATGTGAATGATTTAACACAGGAAACCATCCCCGTTCCGTCTCCCCTCCCCCGAGACACACACACACACACACACACACACACACACACACACCCCAGTCCAGACAGGCGGATTTGCTGTCAAATTCTGCATCCTTCACCTTCTTTTTGGACTTTACTGCCTTGGTTCTGTCTGCTTAGTTCTGTCTGCTTCCTCTTATTTGCCTGATTTTCTCCTATTACCTTCTCGACTCTGCCCAAGCATCACGCCCCTCATAAAAGTTTTCTCTGGCCTTGACATGGCCTATATGAGTCACTCATTAAAAATGGGCCAAAAAAAAAGTCTGTTAGCTTCCTGAGTCTCATCTGGAAAATGGAGTCCATACTCCCTCAGAAGTCCTTTATCCACCTGCACTTACCGAGTCTTCAGGTGGCCCTCTGTCCCCACCCCCAAGCGCACTGCCGGCCCTGCCCTGCGCTCTCCGCCCGCCCCGAACTGCAGCTTGTTAATTATATTATGTAAGTTATAGTATGTAAATTAGTGGACCGTGAATGCAACGAGAATGGCTCCCCTGGAAACTAACTTGAATGACTCGATTAAAGCAAGTTGCTAGCAATAATTGCTTTGACATATGCGGGTGAGGTAACAGAGGCTGCAAACGTAAAACAAATTGCCCTAGCCGGTTTGTCTCAATGTATAGCGCGTCGGCCTGTGGACTGAAGGGTCCCCGGTTCGATTCCAGTAAGGGCACATGCCTGGGTTGTGGGCTCCATCCCAGCGTGGGGAGTGCAAGAGGCAACCAATTGATGATTCTGGTCATTAGTGTTTCTATCTCTCTCCCTCTCCCTTCCTCTCTGAAATCAATTTTTAAAAATTTTTTAAAAAAATACAAAAAAAAACTCTTTAAAAAAATAAAATTAAATTTAGGGAGATGCAGCTATCCTAGTGTTTCAGTTCATACTCCACATAAAAGAAGCCAGAACTGGAAATCAGAGGTGATAGATTTTGCTTTTTAAAAAAGCATTTTGCCCTGGCCAGTGTTCTCAGTGGTTAGAGCGCCAGCCCTTGGACCTGAGGGTCTCGGGTTTAATTCCTGGACAGGGCATGTGCAGGAGGCAGCCAATCGATGTGTCCCTCTCACATCAATGTTTTTCTCTCTACCTCTACCCACTTCCCTTCCACTCTCTAAAAATCAACAGAAAAAATATCCTCCAGTGAGAATTAACCACAAGAAAACCCCCATAAAACATTTTATTTTAGGAAAACATCTACCATGAAACATCATAAATTTTGTTTAAATTTTTCCAATTTTTGAAACCTTGATTTGAGTTGCAGATGTTTGATTTTATTGTATTAGTGCTAAAATGTGCATAGAGAACAAAGATAAAGATTCTTTGGAATAAATGAGCCAGAGATGATAAATAAAAAAAAAAACCCCACACCAAACGAACAAAAAAGATAATACATTTCGGGTTTGCTTTATGCAAAAAAAAACCACCAACAACCAAAAAACCAAAACAGCAGCAAAAAACGAGTGGACTCCAAAACAGTGGACTCCACTGGAGGGAAAGCCTGGTCCTGGGCCTGGCCATGGCTCAGGTGGTTGGAGCGGCATCCCGTAGACCTAATGGATTGCGGGCTCCATCCCCTGTCAGGGCCTGTGGGGAGGCAACCGATTAATGTTTCTCTCTCCCCTTCTCCCCCTCCCTTTTAAGATATGAAAATATATCCTTGGTTGAATATTTTGAAA